CTCGCTGCAACTGTTTTTGTAGCTGGGGAATAATCTGCTTGTGTATTCTGTAATGACACAAGAAATAAAACACAATAGGAAGCATAAAATCTGAATTCCCTTCTCAGTAAAGAGTAATTCCACAATCCATATATTTTTGGTAGCTTGCCTATATAAGGTGCAGAGCTTTATTTCCTAAACCATTTTCACTGTCACCTCGAGTTGGGCTCACAGGAGAAAGCAATTCTGCTTCATACAAAAAACTTTAATCCAAATCTTAAAATGGTACTGGGTGATCCTAAATTTCCTAAAACCTTGGAGGGTGATGCAGCTGCCATGGTGGCCTTCCCATGGTACAGTCTCTTCTCGTGGCCTTTCCAAGGATGATGGGTTTCAGATTTTCATATCTCTCTGCAGAGCTGCCTTCCAACCCATTCCAACCCAGCTAAAATGTGAAAAATGCAACATTTTCTATAAGAAACAGCTTATTTGTATTTCTGTAGATAATGCAGTAGCTTGCTGGAGAAACTAGGCACTCTGTGGACTGAAATTAAAATACCAGTACCTCACAAAGTGAAACCATGGAAAGAAAAAAGGGAATTTTTTCTCTTAATCAGAAGAACAGTACTGCACAGGTTCACATCCTGATAGTTTTTACATTCTCATTCATCAAAGGCAAACAACCTGGTTTGGGCAGATGGTGCCAGTGGGTGAAGGGACAAGACACCCAGGAGACAGGACAGGCCCAGTCCATCCCTTTCCCAGTGCCAAGATCACAGAGCAGCAGCTTTATCACAAGGCAGCCTCAGCAGCAAGATGGGAGAGTTTTTGCTTTGGCTTCCATGCTCTCCTCTGCAGTTTGCTCGGTCCCACGTTAGTGTTTGCACGCCTGCCCACACAGGGAGGGAACATATGTTTTGGATGGGATCCTCTCTTTGAAAATGTGTTTTTGAAGCAAAAACAAATGTTAAACATTCTCTTAGCAAATATCTCCTTTTAAAAGCCTCTCCTCGTCTATCTCAGGCAGACATGAGTTAGTGTCTGTCCACCACATCACCATTAATGGTTGTGCAAAGTGTCCAGCAGGTCCATTCTGGAGGGACTGGAATTTTTGGGTATAACTGACTTTTCACCCCATTGGCTCAGCAACCTCATTAATTTGGCCTCAATCAAAATATTTCATCCAACCTGAAAAAAAAAACCAATATGTTTCATCTCAATATTTCTCAACCATCTTCTATTACCGCTAACGAGATTTTAAACATCGCTTTGAGAAAAAAAACCTCTGAAACATTTCGTTTTGGAAGTGTGGAAGCAAAACTTTTTTTAGCCCCTCTTGCAGCCTGCCACGTTGCCATATTTACCATGGTGCTAACAGTTGTCAGAGATTATCTGGCTGAGTCACAGCTTTTATGGGCTCCACTCCGGTCCTAGAGACGCGAAGCAGCTCCTCTGCAGCCCAAGGTTTATGTTGGCATAAGCGAGATCAGAATTCGCCCTTCTGTTTACCATTTAGCTGAATCACCCCATCACAGACCAACTGTCATCTGTCACTCCATACTTTTAATGGTACATTGCACTGATGTTGTCTATTTTTTCCCCGTCCCAGCAGCCCTGTCACTCTGGTATGTGCTAATCTCTTCTTCCAGGCTTCTGTTGGATCTCTTAATGACGGTGCCACTGCAAATTAGGGTTTTTTTTTTTTAATTTAAAAAGAAAAAAATTTACATGAGAGACTTTGGAGAGCTGGAGGAAGAATCCGATTTGTCCTGTAACTCAGGCTGCAGGCTAAACAGACCTTGGGCTTTTGGAAGTGCCTCCCAGGATGGGTTTTATCCATCCAGACCCAGGCATGGCATTATCTGGGGAGCAGAGGAGGTACCCCCCCTGCACCACCAGAGCACGGCTGCAGCTCTCCGACGAAGTTCATAGCAGAGAATTAATTAATCTTAAAATTGCAATCTCCTCCTCATGCCAGGGCCTCTCTGCAGCTCTGTGTTCCTACAGCCAATAGACCAGAAATCTTTTCCAAGAGTTTAGCTTCCTTGGGGCCCTGGCAGTGCCAGAGCCTGGCTGCTGATTAACCCGGGTGGTGACAAGGGACACGCATGCGCTCGGTCTCGCGCCCGCTCCGTGTCCCCTGCAACATGAATCACGTATCCTTTCGCTGCTGTGACAAACAAAACAAGGAGAGAAATGCCTTGCAAAAGGCAGTTTGGCTGTGGGAGAAAATGCCCACCCCAGGCAATAAAAACTATTTCAGTGTTTTAAGATTATTCCCTGTTTTTCCCAGAAGTGCATGTGGGAATGGAGGGGATTAAAACTTCAATAATCTTCAGTGAGTTTTACGTTTTTATGTTACATTGGTCAGCTAATAATTTTAGCCTGTTATTATTATTATTTTTGCAAACACCTAGGAAAAGATTCTGAGGTTTTCTCATGGCCTTTCCAAAATGACCCATATTTATGTGAAACAAGCAGTACCACCAAGCAGTGAATTCAGTGTGAGGTAGCACTTAGACATTGCAGGCAGTGCTTGTGAATATGAACCCTTTTGGGGATCCCCATATTTTTTGTGTGGGCAAAGGTTTTTCTCCCTGCAAAATGCAAGTTAACAATTCACCATTCTGCTGAGTCCAAGTCCCACGTGCAAATTGTTTCACTGCTTTGATTGCTGAGTGTCTGCAACATGGAGCATGCAGAACTTGTAGAGGTCCATCTGGTAAGGGAAATAATCCTGTGTCATTGCAAAATATGTTTCTGCGTGTGCGTGTATTTCTCTGTGCTCCTTCTTTGTCATGATTCCTCGGTTTAATTTAAATACATGTTTCACTTCTCTCCATATTTCAGGTTTATTGCAGAGTATGAAAATCAGGAAGCTTTTTGTTCACTTCATACATCTCTTCCAACAAAGCCAGACACCCGAACCCGGCACAGACTCCAGAGTGATTATTGTTACACATGATCTATGGAGCAGATAAATTACAGCTTGATTTTTATAAGGTATATTGAGCCTGCAGGCTTCAACAGAAACAAAAACAAAACAAAACTCAAAACCTTGGTTTAACTAGTAATTTGAGGAAATATGACAAACCTGACATGGAAGTCACAGAGCAAATAAATATGCACATCCATCATTTTGTAAAATAATGCCTTTGCTAGAGAGACCTGTGCTTGCTGCAGTCTGCAGTGTAAAATTCTTTATGGTTTACTGGCCTCAGATCCTGCTACACAGAGAATCAAGTTAGCTATAGTTGAAAGAAACAATTCTGTGTAAGAAAAACAGTGTTGTGCAGTAAAATAGTGCACATATCAATCATTTCCCTGAAAACTAAGTTGGTTTTAGGATATATTATAATATTCTTGAAATGTTTAGAGGTGGTTTTTATTCACTGGCTAAAATGATTGGAGTCTTTGCCTTTATTGTGAAATAATCAAGTTCCTAGAAATAAAATCACCCAGTAGTTATTGCAGATAGAAAATCCTACTTCATACAAAATACAACAAAAGGCAGTTTCAGAGTCATCTTCTGAGCACAATAGTTTTGTTGGTGCACTGGAAAGGAATAACACACACAATTCTCCCTTCAGGAACTGGCTTTTGGTACCAACTCTTTTTTTGTAGCTTGCCAGTAGTTGGAAGGCTTTGTGTGAAACTAAAGAACACCGTCAGTGCCCTTTGCATGAGATCTGCCTCTCAAACTGTCCCCTCCCTGCAGATTCTGGAGCTGCAGTTATCCCTGAGTTGGAGTTCACAACACAGCAAAATGTACCCACTCAAAGAGGAGGCTGTAATTTGGGCACTGATGGGGATGTCGCCTTTGACACCTGGAGGAGGGTTTTACTCAGAGTTTAGGGGTTAAATCCAGCCATTTATGTCAAACTGCTTCTGGACAAAGCACAAAACAGAGCCAAAATGATCCACTCCTAAAGAAGTGTCTTTGTCAAAGCCACAATTCTTTTCATGCTCCCTTCCTGCTCCAGCACATCCTTAGAGTTTTCTCCATTTCCAGGGATGCTTCTTGAAGAGGCAGGATGGAGAGCAGCCAGGTCACCACCAGAAATAACCATGCAAAATGCACAACATCCACAGCCCAGAGAAGGAGATGCTGCCCCATGCAAAGATGTGGGTCTGGGGCCTCCCAGACAGCACAAGACCTGGATCTCCAGGCCCTGTGCTCTGTCTCCACTTTCAGAGAAATTCCAGTGCCTGGAAGAGAGTGGAAGAGCCTTTGTGTGCAAGTTCCCGATGGGTCAGATGTACAAACCACAAATTGAGTGGCTCAGCCACACCAGAGCTGCTGTAAATCTGAGGCTACACAGAATTACTGCTGTGGTGTTAGAGAGCTCTAACACCAAAGATGGAGTGACAAAAAGGGAAGATCAATAGATCCAATAGATCAGGAAGAAGGGCTGAAGACCCTTTTGAAGTGTTGATCTGACCCATGGAACCTGTCTGGGAACTCTGCAGGAAAGTGTCTAAACTGGACCAGAATCTTCCATCCTTATCCACAAGATTGTCCTAGATGCACAGCAAAGACAGTGATCAGAAAAATAAGCTGAAGTTTAACCTCTACAGAAGCTGTTTTAATCTGATCTTGTATGTTTTGGTACCTAGATATGACCCTGTCTTGGTCTGATCCTGCAAACCTTACTTGGATCATAGTTTATATGAAGGGTCCATCATCTGCTTCACTGTGTCTTCCAAGCTGCCCCTTGCAGTTTAAAAGCCAAGTGCACATTCACTACTCTTAGCATTGCAAAGCCAAAATGACTGGTTTGTGTTTCATCCATGAAATTGCCAGCTAAATATTCATTCTGGAATCATTACTCCAGGTGTTTGTCAAGGAAGATGTACAAAGCAGCCAGAACATGTTTAGCATTTCATGTACCAGGCCGAGCTGCAGGAGTGACAGGTTGAAAAATCTTGTTTGGACTCATAGACTGAAACCATTTAATATAGAAGTCACTGGTGGACTATAAATATGGAAAGCCAGAGTGCCACATTTTTATAGAATCCACATTCTACATATCTTTTAAACATACTGAAACTTCAGAGAAGCTGTAGAAGTTAAACTCACAAATTTTTGCTTCAAACATCTGCAGTTCTTCAATGGGGGAACCTTCAGAAGCTCAAATGCCTGGACAAAATACACTTTATTTGAATGTGCACTTAGATTAACTGATCCCACAAAAGCCAACTCTGTTCATTTAGGCCAGGAATTACCCAATTTGCTCACATAATCTCAGCAATTACACGTTCATCTTTTTTTAAATATCAGCCCTATGGTGTGATTTACGTGGTATGTGATCTTTTAACTTAACCTCAAAGATATTAATCTTTATTAAAGGGTATGAGAGGCAAAGAGGGGGAAGAGAAGCTGGTGACAGATACTCTGACAGTGAGGAAAAGTAATTTATAAAGTGAACATCAGTAAACATTAGGAGTGACATATTGATATCAGCAGCCAGGAAACGGCTGGACGAGCTAGGATGAGGTATTACACCTTAAATTGTGGCAACCATATTTTTTTCCCAAGGTTGATCTTTTATATTTTTTAAAGAGAAATTTACTATTATGCCTCCTGCTTCCCCGGTGGTAAAATGCCAGAAATTTGACTGAGATTTACTTAAAGTGACAGCAATGCCCCACTTTGTCCAAGAAAGATGATCACTAAATGTCACGTCTATCTACTCTCATGTGGATCACTTATTTGACATGTTCATGTCTCAGCTCCATAGCAGTTTGCAGCATGTTTCCTGGTGCTCTGAGGCAGTCTGAAATCTTTGTGGTGAAAACCTGACCTGGCCAAAGGCAAATCATTAAAATAAATAAATAATGCAGTTGGGATTCGCTGCTCTCCATTTCAAGGGTGTCAGGCCAGAAAAAGGCATAAAAAGCCCTCACAAAACCAGACCAAGAGCGTATGTTTCTGGTCAGGCTGCCAGAAAGCCACGCTGGTGGGATGCTCTTGCAATCTCAGCTGACATAGAACCACAGCAAAAAAGCAAATACTGGTGTTTAAACACAGAAAATAAGCTCATAACCTCATTTACTCTTTTATTTATTTTTTAGGCAATCTGAAAAATGGCACACTCTGAACCAGGGCAGAGTGTGCATTTTCCTATTTTGCTGCAGGACCCCACTTTGCTGAATTCCTGGAGGAAGAGATGCAAAACCAGCTGGGTGTGAGGGAACCATCAGCACGAGCTCCTGAGGTGGGGAGCCCATTTAAATCTCTTTTGCTGAGCCTTAGATGTGACCCAAGCAAAGAAAAATGGAAAGCAAGGCAGAAAGGCTTTTTGCACAAAATGGAACAGTAGTCATGAATAATTAATGGTTTCTACCTTCTTTGCCATTTTAACTTGTCTTTCTTAGTACTTATTGCCTTCCAGTCCAGAAATGTGTCTGTGGATTAATTCATGCATGTTTTGCAGCAGCAAGTCAAGAATTAAGGTGTGTGCTGGAGATGCAACCTCCCACCAGAGGTGGGATTCAGCAGTCTCCCAGCCAGAGCCAGGGAATGCTCTTGCACATATCCAAGCTCTGGGAGCCTCTCAGCAAGGCCAAGAGCTCTTTTTCCCATCCTCTTCTAAAAATTCCTACCACTCCTGTCTAAATACAGAAGTTAATAATCACAGAAAGGGCTTAAGATCTGAATGCAAGGACATAAATACATGTCATGAGAAGGACACACCTTTGGTTTGTTCCAGCACCAGAGGCTCACACATTGCCATATATTTATTCATTTTGAGGTGGAAATACTACAGGTATGAAATACAGTGAGAGTATTTAGTCCTGGCTTATCCTGCTGACTGCCCTGTGCTATCAGTGCAGTCACACCCTCAGACAGGAGTGTTTCATCAGCCAGTTTAAGGCAGGTTCTGTAAAACCCCAAGTTTTTCCTCTCAGACTTTCCCTTTGATGCCCAGCTGCCAGCTCCCATGTAGGCACTCACCTCAGACACAGTTTAACTCCCAGAAAACCTGCAGGAGCAGCAAAACCAGCTCAAAATGCATCCTATGTAATAAGCAGGGGTTTTGTTGTTTTTTTTTTTTTAAGTGTATGGTGGAAGATTAAAGCCATTCTAAATGAAAGTAGAGTGTGTAACAGGGTACAAGATTTCTAAATAGGTGGCACATGTCAGCAGGCATTACAAGAGTGTCTTTAGGTGAGCCTTTGATATCGACTGCTGAATAGTTCAGCCAGAGAGATGCAACCAAGCGAGAGTTTCACTGCCTTGATTTGTTTTCCAGCTAAAATAAATCTGAATAGAATAGACTTAAATTACCTGTGATTTTTCTGTCTTTAAAAGGACACATAAAAGCTCACGAGATCACTGCGCTCCCTGGGGAATAAAAAAAAAGGGAATGGGAGAAAGAAACCAGGAAAACCATGAAAGATTCATTTTAATGGAATCCAGGTTTAGCTGTTTCATATTTAATAATGTTTAATATTTCATTTACTACTGGGGACTCACCTTTTTCAGAAGAATGTAAGATTCAAGGCACTATTGTGCATTAAGATTTTATGTCTGACTGTAGCAATATTATAAGGGTTGGCGTTGGAGCTGCTCAAGCCTTATGCAGAAAGCCTAGAAGCAACAAGGTTCCTTTCTTTTTTTCGTTTTTCCTACAGCCAAAATAGGAGCTGAAGCCCCAGAAAGTGGTGGGGTAGAGCTGTGAATCCTAGCAACAGGCGGGGAAAGAACTGTACATTTCTTCACGTCCTCCAAGTGTTGTTGCCTTCTGGTACATCATTGACAGGAAGAGACAGAGACCATGGAAAGGCCCTCCTTGCTGATGATCAAGAAAGGGCACATTTTTTCCAGTGGGATGGTGAATTATTGCAGTCTTGGGGGGAAAACAAGCAAAGCAACACCCCACAGTTCATACTGTTGTTGCTGTTGCAGTTTCCTTCATCACAAGGCACTGCCTTTTGCTGCAGGGCTTTTTTTTCAATTTTCTGTGCTCTTAGTCTTTTTTTAAGCCCTTCTCAGTGATAATGTGGGCTTTTCTTTTTAAGTGAACTATGAAAATTTGCACTCAAAAGTGTGAGCATAGGGTTCTGCCAGAAAAACCCATCATTCTGTGGCCTGCAATGAAATCATGGGTGATAAAAGCTTCCACCCATGTTCAGCAGAGAGGGAACTGAAACCAGAGCACTTTTCCTGGAAGAAGAGGCTCCTGCTAAATATGTAGCAGTCTTGTCTTGCCAATATTAAACTAGCTTTTCTTCCTGGAGAGCCTGTCAATACAGTTTGACCTCTCTCTGTGGATATTCTTCAGAGCCTGAAGCACTCAGATAATCTGAATCCCCAGTACCATCCTGGGAAGGTGGGTTTCAGTCAAAGAAAAAGTCACAGAGCCTGGGACAAAGAGCAAGGGGGGATTCCAGACTCCTTGCCCCCATCACTGTGCTCAGAAATGCACCATTTCCCTGCTGATGCCAGTTTGTCTGGGTTTGCCACCAGTTTTGCCCTTGGGAGAAGCTTGCAGACTCTTAGGAGCTCTGCCTGGATGTAAACTGTGGGAAGAGGGGTGTGGAGAAAAGCTGGGGGTGTGTAACACAGCCTGCTGCTTCTGTTAAAAACCAAATTTATGGAAAGTAGCACTAGTGAGTTGTTGCATTGGACTGGACCAGCTGCTGCAAAGAGGAAGCACAGCCCTAGACAAGGTTGCAGCAGAAGAGATTTGGCTCCCAGCTCCCACCAAAGCTGAAGAAAGGTTCTGCAAGCCCTTCTGCCTTTTGGGACATGTTCAAAATTCACCCCCTTCCTGGAGCAGCTCCCTACAAAATTTTCTAAAAAGATTTCTTGCCAGGAGAGGGGAAGTTTCTTTTATTATTGGGGGTTTTTTGCTTGCAATTTCAGTCTCCGACCTCATTGAAGGGCTCTGGCATTTGCATAACTTCCCACGGAAACTGAATCAATGTTTGACATCATGGAACAGAATCTCAGGCATGATTTAGCATTAGTAAGCCACCAGTCATCAGCACACTGTCATTCCCCTATAGCTGACATCTTAATAGAGTCAGCCTCATGCACACACATGTTCACCAGCAGCAAATTCTTCTGCTCTGGCCATGCAGGAGCTTTTCTTTTAACATGGCCTTGCACATATGAACATCCAAAAGACACTGGTCCAATATGATCAATTTCCAGGGCTCCAAATGCATTTTCCCTTTAGGTAAGAAGGCAATTTTAAGTCCTCTTAAATAATTGAAGATACTCCTGATACAATCAAAAGTCAAGCTCCCCAAGATGAAAATGTCTGGATGATGAATAAGTTAATGGAACTAAAATCCCAGTCGTGGCTGATTAGGGGACCAGGAGAGTTTATCAGAGATGGGAATGTACAAGTCCAGACACAGCCTGACCTTGTAACAAATGAGAGCTGAAAAGCAATTAATTGAGAAATTATCAGGGAAAAACGAAGTTGTATGGTTGGTTAGCTAAAGCAATATGTCAATGGGCCAGGGATTGATTTGCCTGGAATACCTCAAGGTCTCTGTTCTGATGATTCAGGACTTGAAGGAACTGGCCCGAGCCAAGCAATAAAAATAAAACAGGGTCAGGAGAGGGAGTCATCAGTCAGCACTAGGGATCATGTATTATTTAGCTGGTAGTTAAGGGAAATTATCAAACAAGAGCAGACTTTAAACCCAAGTTTTTTTCCCCGTGGGAGGGAAAATAAAGGGAGAGAAAATAAAATGTTCCTTTGTACCAATGCTCACTGTCCTCAGCCCAAACACTGAGTTTGGGAGCTGGGTCCTGGGAGCAGGAGGTGCCAGGGTTGAATGTTCACAGGGAGGGATGATCAGTCCTGACAGTGGGCATCATTTATTGCTGAGCTATTTCCTCCCTTCCTGCTGCCAACAGGCTGCACAGGACCTCTGCACACACCAGGACCTGCCCCAGGCCACCAAACTAACAGTGAACCTTTATTTATCTCAACTTGGACCTTGATTTATATCAACTCATCCACACATCAGCTTCCCACGTCCTATATATTTGGGAAACTCTTGGTGGGACCACAACTTGTACATGTTGATCTGAGCTGCAAAACGTGTCTGCAAACACAGTTTTCCTCCTTCAAAGGTGAGTACAAAGCTCTTGAATGAGACTGTAGTATCCTGTAGCTCAGAGGAGCAGCAAAGCAAATGAAAACAGCAAAACAAATGATATATAAAGTCTTCTAGAAAGATCAGTGCGTTGGGTGAGAATAGCTGTGTCTTGTGACACTTCACTAAATAACACTAAACTCTGTCTCTCCCTTGCGGAAGAAAGAAGAAAAATCCCACAGAACCAGCCAGTACATGTTCTGTGGCAGGATCAGGGCCTCAGACACCACAAACTGTTCCTTTTTGGGATCAAGATCCTGAGATGCTGCAGAAAATTTTTTGTTGGAAAATGCAGCTAGCTTTCCCATCAGGACAACAGTTTAAGTTCTGGGGTTTTCTTATAGAAAAGCTTTCTAAATACTTCAGATTTGACATTGGGTCTTTTTTTGTCATGTTCCCCACTAATCAAAATTAGAAAAAAGCTGTGATTTTAGCTTGTTGCATTTCAATATGTAATGAATACAAGAAACTCCAATATTTCACTGCAAATAGCCATTGCTGATGCAAAAATAAGTTTCTAAAAGGAAATTCCAACAGCAGCTGTGAGATAAGGGAACAGCTTTATCCCACTGCCTATGGACATATCTGAACACATTTCTGGGACTCACAGCATGTCACGCTCCGTGTAATGCATTTTCCATTTGTCCTGACCTGAGAGCTTTGCATTCAAGGAGCAGATCCCCCAAGTGAATTCATCAGGAGGAATAATAACCAATGCAAGGGCTTGGGCTGCTGGGCCAGCAGATCCATCCTGCAGTTGTCAGTGGGATGAAATTCAGGGTGGCACAAAGGACACAGCAATATTTTCCCAGTCTATTTTATTGAAATGCAAGAGAAAGGTTTCTTTTTGGGGATTGCATCATTCCTCTCCTCTGAGGCCAAGCTGCTGCACAGTCTCAGTGCAGCATCTGGGAGTTTAGGAGGTGATGGTGGAGGTGCTGGAATATCCCAGCACTAATCACCTATTATCACCTTACAATAATTATCAAAGCTGATTCCAAATAAATCCTCTTTGGAGCAGGTCCTTGGCTGGCCCTCTGCTCTGCAAAGTGCAAACACAACCACCCCCAGTAAAACCAGTGGAATCCCAAATGTGACCTCAGGTTGCATGAAGCAGTTATCTGGGTATAATCACTGGGATGGAATAAAGTCATTTTGTTCTGCTAGGAATCAGGAGATCTTTTTTTGGAGCATCCTGCTCCACAGAAGCTGTGCTGGACTGCACTCTGATCTCACAAAGCTGGGAGAAATTCAGAGATTTGGCCTCTTTATTTTCTTTACGGCTTTCAATGGCAGTCAAAGACTTTCAGTATAAAGGCTGTGATGCTTTAAGATTGTCACAACCTGGAAGGGCAGGAAAATGCCCAGTCTGGAGTCTGACACAGTTTCCATTGTAAATTAAATGGCGAAGGACCAGCAAAGGCATGAAGCAGTTCACGCCAGCAGTACTTTTGTGTAGTAGTGCTAGTGTGAACTTTTGTGTGCCTGAGCCCACCCAGGAAGGGGGAGATGGTCAGGTACCACTGGCTCCAGGTGCCATGACCCACACCCAGGACTCTGAAGGAGTGTGGTGTGTTCCCAGCCCTCCCATACATTTCTTATAGAAGTTCAGCTGAACCATTCAGCTCCTCTTTTATCTCCATGTCTTGTTAAATGTGGAATCATCCTATTTTCATTCCCATTCACCTGATGGTGGGTGGGATCACAGTCCCAGGCACCACTGCAGTGGGGTGTCTGGGAGCACTGGTCCATACTTGCAATGGCAAATTTGTGTCTGTGATTCTGTGGGGAGAAGGAAGTCATTCAAGCAGGCAGGCTTTGGGGGTCTAGGCTTTCAAATATTGGGTACTGGCCTCAAAAAGAGCTTGGTATGAGAGACAGGCTTAGTTACATCTCTACATCCCACATTTAGGCTGGTTGCTGTTGTTGCAAAGGGTTAACAGACACTGCAAAACATTTCTAGGATGAAGTGCTAAGATTTAGTGTACTGAATTAATTCTTAAATTAGAACAGGGGATTTGCACATGATTTCTAAGGGAAATTATCTTCTGGGTAAAATTAATACAGGAGATGTTTCAACATCTGGGATGGCATTATTATAAGCAATGATTACCCAGACATTGCCAAAAGAAAGAGATCACAGTAAACTGTTTCTTTTCCCAAGCAAAGTAAGCTCCTCACCCTGAAGGGAGGAGAATATTTGCAGAGCCTTGGCTTATTTGGAAATGCACAGGAGGATTCTACATGAGAAAAAGGCTGCCTGCTTTGCTGATGGATGGTTGGGAAGCAGAATTGCAGACAGGGAAGGCTCTCTCTGCAGGTGGGCTCCAGGCACCCGCCTGCCTCCCTCTCCTCTGAGCTCCTCATCAAAAAAAGGTGCTTAATGCAGTGCTACAGATGTCCAGGTGCTTAATGTTGGGAGGTTAAAGAGGAAACACACTGGCAGACGTGACCTGGAAAACCTCCAAGAGGGAGGTTGGTCCTTCTGCTCCTCACCCGGAGACCACAGAACTCCTCCAAATGCCTCATCTTCCTCCAGCCTTCAGAGGGGCAGCTTTTCCCTGGCGAAATTTTAAATAAAGCAGAGAGTAAAGCTAAAGCAAGACCTGCATCAAAACAATCACACCCCAGGAGGAGCTCATAAATATTTATTTTCCTTCAGTCTATTTCATTTTGTCAGGAAAAGAGGAGGGCGCTTGAGTGGGAAAAGGAGACCAGTGGCACAGTGCTCCTTTCACAGGGAAAAACACCAATGTTTAATTTAAAAGGGCATAAATATAAAAGAAATGCCTCTTTACTCTCGTGTTAGTAGCTGACTATTAAATTACATCACAAGTGCTACGTGTGGGACCAGGAGAGTGCACGGTTATTTCTGTCTCCTAAACCGGAGTGCAAGTCTCAGCGTAATTACTCTGGATCCAAGTGTAATTACCAACTGATCTGCAGGAACATAGACAGCAGTGACATCCATCCCGGGCAGCAGCAGAGCCTGCTGATAACACAGCATCATTAACACAGCTTAGCACTTCCCTCCGAGGCTGCAGCCGTGCTTCTCCTCGGAAAGGGCTCGCGGGTCGGTGGCCGGGATGGCCCAGGAGCCACCTGAGCTGCTGCCCCACCTGTGCCAGAGCTGGCAGCAAACCATGATACCCTAATCATGGGAAATTAGCCTGGGACAGAGGGTTTTTTCCCAAGATGGATCCTCTTGTTTTGGTATTTCTGCAACCTGCCCATTTTTCCCCAAAGTCAATGATGAGAAGGAGGGTGCTGAGTCCCCCTGGGGTCACCATCTTTTTGTTTGGCTTTCTTCTTTTTATTCTGCTTTACTGTGACATCATCATGCTCAGATTTTGGAATATTTTCTCTAGAGTTCACACCTCATCTATCTTCTTTTGGAAGACAGTGGGTTTAAGGATATTCTTTTCTTTATTCTTTATCTTATTTTTTTTTCCAAGGCTGAAAGCATCACAGTAAACAACCTATTTATTCTGATGGTCTTGGAAGCTTTCTCTACAACTCCAAGAAGGTCAGAGAAATGATTCAAAAAGAGAAAAGGAGAGAAAAAAAATCCTCTTCTCTTGTCATGATTGCCTGTTTTGTTACCACACCTTCTTAGTGCTATGGTGTTGCAAAGACAATGCAATGGACCAGTGTAGAAATGAAGATGCACTAAACATAAATAAAAATGATTTCTTTTTTCAAGTTGGTGTTTTCAGGTATTTTTAGTTGTGTCCATTCTAGCTCATAAACACAAACAAATGAAAATATGATAAAACATAATTTGACATAATTTCCTGTAAAAAGTACTGAAACTAAGATTATGCAAACACACAAGAAAATATCTCCCAGCTCCTGTGGGTAGCAATGCATTTGCTCCCAGCTCAGGGTCAGTGATGGTAAAGTGAGATTGACAGGGTAACTAACCCCTGAAGGAGGTTTTCCATTTTGGTTAGTCCTGCTAATCCATGCTTGCTGCTTTGAATGAGCTCAGTTGCACAGAGAGATCTTATTTTTTTCCCTGAATCTGCTCATGTGTTGGTTTTATCTGAGCAGCTCCGCAGATGTCAGTGAGACACATTTTGTTTTGAGTTACATCAGCGTAAATCACAACTGATCCAGTGAACTCAGATACCCTCTTTGCAGTGAGAGCTGTGACACAAAGAGTTTGGTGCCACGGTATTGTGACAGCTTAAAGCCCCTCCACGAGGAAACAAAGTCAGGCTCAGCGCTGTCCTGGAACACATTACAAAGCATGTTTGTTATTGCACAGAAGACAGCATTTGCCTTGGCTGTGAACAAGAAACCAGATCTGTAACAGCTAAGATTTCATCTCTACCATTTATCCAATGAGCTTCCCAATCCTCTTGCACAGATACCCTGCTGCTAACATAGCAGTCAAGATCAGAGCACTTAATCAATCACTCACTGAGGACAAATATGCGTAATCTAAATTAGAACAAACCCAGGCATATTTTACATGACAGCCCTACAGATTTTTAAGAAAAAGCATTGGCAAGAAAATTGCATGAGAACAAAATTGTTTTGTGTTTATGCTTAAAGTGGTAGATTTCCTAAAAGCTTCTGTGGTATTAGGTAGCCTTGAATATACAGGGGCAAAATTCTGCTTTCACTGCTTTGACTTCCACATTTTCATCAATAAACCAGGGATGCATGTGGTCCCTCTGGCTCTGAAGCAGAAATCCTGCTGCAGACCTCAGTATGATGTAGAGTCCTTCTTAAAAACCTTTCATATTTTATGATCACTGTCGACTCTCTTATGATCAGTGTTGGTTCAAGCTTTCATGAATCAAAAATCAGCTCGTGGAACGCATCTTAGAGCAACCTATTTGTCTGCAGCTAGCAAAGGAAAGTGGTACTTTGAAGAATAAACCCCTCCGCCTTCAGAACGATGCTCAGGCTGCACAGGAGGCTGGAGCAACTTACAGATTCTATTCAGGCTCCTCTCTGGGCATGCTGGGTGACCTTGTGTTCTCCCATTTTCCTCTGGGGGAGATATTATTTATCCCTGATAATAAAACACAGGATTCTTCAACTGCAACTCATGGTTTAATCTATTGTGTCAACTTACACAAGCTCCCTTGGAAAAAAAAGAAAGATCAGAGGCAATAAAAGGAGTAAAAAATGAAGCATCTTTAACTGAAGTCATACAACTTTCATCTGAGGTCAGGCCCACTTTGCCCTGACTCTGCAGGGTGGGATCTCCAGAGAGGAGCATCCCAGAGATGGCCTTTGAGAGTGGGTGGCAGCTTTTGCACAGCTCACAGTGCCCATCAGCCTTGGAGACCTTGGAGCTTTGGGTACAAACCCAACAAGCAGCAGGAAGGCTGAGCCCAGCCTCTGTCAGGGCAGTCAGCACTGCCTCCTGAAAGGAGGAGTTCTGAAAAAATGCTGGAAGTGTCTGTGCACACATCCCTTCTCCATGCACCTCTGCAGATCGGGCTCTAAGGTGTCCCTTTGTTGAAATTCTGTCTCTGCTTCTCCAGAAGAAGCAAACAGTCCAACAAAAGTTCACACATCACCAAACATCCCATGGAGACTGAATTTCAGTTTATTGCCCTGTCTTGGGACTTTTAAATATCTATTTCACTTCCTGCATGAAAGCAGGTCTGATCCAGAGTGCAGCAGGACTCATTTGCTCTCCTCTGACTTGGTTTTGGAGGGATCTGTGAGATTTTCCAGGGACAACTGTCACACTGTTCTCCCAGTCAGCTTGCTGAGGTGAGGCATTACCAGCATGGGCAGGTTTGATCAAATTTGTTAGAGAGATGCTGGCAAAAGCAATGATCTAATATTGCAATTAAAGGCAATGTTGAATACCTACTCCCAGAAAAGTTTGGGAGAAGCCATACAGAGGACTTGAGGACTTTGGAAAACTTTATCTCGGATGTGCAAGGAGGGATTAGTATGCCTACTTGCTTAATTTTGCAGCCAGAGGTCAATTATGGATTTTACTTGGATCTCTCAGCTTCAAAGATCAGCTCTGAATATGAAGCTTCTTTCTGCTTAAGGACAAGGCAGAGACTCTGCAGGTAGCAGCGACCTGGAAGCAGGATTCCCACTTTCCACCATCCAGACAATTTCCAGAAATCACTTTGCATTACATTTTGAACTTAGATGCTCAGTTAATTCCAGACAGATCCCCGTTAAAGTGCCTCAGTGCATGGCCTGGCTTTTTTGATTTTTTTAACTTAACTTTATTTTTTTAACTTCTCAAGTTTTGACTTGGTCACTTGCCTGGGAGGCTGCTGTGTGAAGGTGCATGAGGATGGACTGGAGCATCTAAATGGAGGCCCCCAAACAGGAGCATTTTTCCCTTAATCTTCCCTCACCGCTGGGAATAATAATTCCTTGCAGGGCTGTTGCACAGCTTGATTCATTAAGGCTTATGAAGTGCTTTTAGCTCCAGCACTGAAAGGCTCTGAGCAAGTTATTTGGGACTGCTCAGGTGTTAGGAGGAGAGGCATTGCAGAAGGAATACAAATAAATCAAGAGAAACTGCCCCTTCCTCCCATGCATCCCCTGCCCAGCACTGTTCTCCATCACTGTTGGTGTCAAACAGTTAATTTACAAGCCCAGCACTTTACAAAGCCCCTGGAGCACCAATTGTCCCTTTCTCATGCAACATCAGCTCCTCAAAACAGCCAGCTGAGTCTCCGGGGTCAGCCTGCTCCTGCCCTTCCCAGGGCAACTCCAGCCTCTCTCTGGAGCCGCCTGGGCATTTATTTTTGGACAAGTCAGAGCCAGCACCACCCCCCTGCAGCAGGATGTGCAGAATAAGCCCGGGGTGCAGGCTGCCATGTGCTTGGCCCAGGAGGGGACACTGGCTTGGGGAAGGTGACCCAGATGCCCCAGCCAGCCCATCACCCATCAGGGCATCCCCAGCGCTCAGCCTGGCAGGACGAGCCAGGAGAGCCACAGGCAAAGGACCAGGCCCAGGGCTGGGGAAGGTGAAGGCAGCAGATCTTTCACCAGGCTTTTCTTCCCCCTCCCTCCCTCCTCTCAGCCAGTCTTCCTCCCCTCCTCCAGTCTGTTGCACAGGAGCTGCCGGCCATGCTGTTCCAGTTCAGGGGCTCCTGCAACAGAAAAGATCAGCTGTTGGAGAACCCATGGAAAGCCCTGGGGGAGAGCCATGGCCGCAAGGTAATCAGCAGGCAAAGTTATTACCATTATGCTGCTAATTAATTCCCAGCTCATTACGTTTCCTGTGGCTAATTTGTACTCGCCGCTGATTTGATTAAACTCATCTCTATGCTAATAAATGTGTTTTCCATTTGTTTTAGCGACTGTAGGAAGAGAGCCCGGTATTTACATATTTTGACGTTTATCAAATAAAACGCGGCGCCTGAATTAATTCTGCTCTGATTTATAAGTGGAGGGGGGAGGAAGGGGAACGAGGGGATGCTGAGGGTCAGGCGTGCATCGTGTGTGCGTGGCAGAGTGAGCCAGGGGGGCTGGGATGCTCCTCACATTTCATCCTCCCCGGCCCCATCCTGCCCAGGGATGCTCCTGCAAGGCGGCCTCCCCCTGCTCAGCTGCCCCCTGCCATTTATTTCCCATTCCCAGATAAGTTTGGGGATGTGGGGCTTTGATTTGTAGGTACATCGCATGGTTCAGCGACACCTCATCAGGTGGATTTCTCTTTGTCTTTCAGAAATTGTTCTAAATGAAGATTAGGTTTACACTGCAGCACCTCATTATAAGCAGTGACTGTTTCCAAGTCCTGTTCGTCAGGACTCGCTACAGTAATATCAGACAGCTTGAATTTCTAATCAGGGGGAGGAACAGACACCTTGCCATGTACACAGATTTATTTTAGGGATGTGTTTTACCCTCTCTACCTCAGTAACTTGCAGGGCAGAAAGGAGCCCTCCAGCATCTGCCTTTTAAACCCAAGACTAACTCTTAAGGGCAGATCCTCAGCAAGTGAAACTGCTCAAAACACTCCTCCTGTTTCTCACATTTAACTGCTGCAGTATCAGTCTCCTCTTCATTTGGGGTAAATCTTAACAGAAAAACACATGGAGAGTGTAAATCAATGGGATTTGTGCATTAGCATCACTAAGGGCTTGTGAAATCCAGCCTTTCCTTTTCCCAGGAAAACTGGCAATGGTCACCGAGCACATTCCCTCACTCTACATGTGTGTTCATATGTGTCATCATCTGTTGGTGCAGGGACAGCTGTGTCACACGGGATGGAGGCCAGAACCTCGCAGGAAGCGTGGGCTGGGGAGGGCTGAGATGGGAGCAAGGCAGGGAAAGGATTCTCTTCTAGGGCTGGAAAAGGCACAGCGGCTCGACAGGGATGCCTGGTAATCCAGGGAGATCTAACCCATCCCAGTCCTGCTCAGTTTTGTCTGGAAAACTGGTTCAACCCAAGAGGGATTTGTTTTCCCTCTGCATGCCCAGTATTGGGTTGGATTCTCTGTTTTCTCTGCCAGGTCACACCAGTGGCCCCAGGGCAGCCTACAGCTTTCTTTCACACTCCCAGGAAAAGTTTCCCAGCAAAAAGGAGCCCCAACAACGCCACTTCTCACTCTGGCAGTGAGACACCTTCCACCGCTGCTGCTTCACCCCAGGCAATCTGAAACAGCTTCATTGCTTAAGTAACAATTAACAGCCCTGTCTTTTGGGAGTGCTTCTGGAGCGCTGCGCATCCCCTGCTCCCGAGCCTGCGCGCTCCTGCCGTGGAACCCGAACTGTGGGCATCCCCCAGCTCCTGCCCACCCCTCAACCTGCCTGCAAGGGTGGTGATGGGCTGCACCATGCTGCCAGCACCCCCTCGGCTCAGCCAGAGCCGTGCCGAAGCCTCCTGTCCTCTGGCACTCACTCCAAGGCGGCGCAGACCGTGGAGCATCACTCCTGTGATGCTGCTCAGGATGCGCAGGATGAAGGTGTCCCACTGGTAACTCAGTCCTTCACAGAGCTGACCCAGGACAGCTGCCAGAGCATGGCAGGAGGTCCCTGGGCTGTTTTTAAAGCAGGTCCCCAGAGAGGAGCTGGCAGAGCCCTGCCTGGCTCCCTGCTCAGCTCTGGCATGCCCCAGAGCGGTGGGAGCTGCCTGACCTGCAGCACTGCCTTGGCCACTCACCCAGTCCCAGCAGTTCTGCAGCACCGCCTCAGCATCCCTAGAACAACCAGCTAAGCCATGCAGCAGTGGCTTGCTGGACGTTTCTCTTCCTACAAAACCTTTTAAGCCTTTGCAAAAGCGGGAAGTATTAGGGACAAAAAAAACGCCTTGTTTCACGTTAACAGCCTTTGCTTTTCCTGGCGAAGGTGGGACAATGGCCACACGCTGCATGGTATCAGTGTCACAAAGAACAGAACCAAAAGGCTTCAGCTCAGGACAAATAAAAGTAACATTGATTCCTTTTTATTTTTCCTTTTTTTTTTTTTTTTTCCAGCTGGTATCAATACATTAAACAACCACGCTGGAAAAGTGAAATTGATTCAAGGCCTTCAGTGCTCCCTGCCAAAAAAGCCTCCTGCAAGGATCTATTCTGTATTGAATTACAGTCTGGAAAAGTTCAATAGGTTATTGTACAAACAGAGAGCAAAAGCCCGTCAACAATGGAGCCAAAGTGATTGTGCAGCTCCTTTGTGCCTGCCAGCCCCGCGCCCCTCACGAGCTCGGATGTTAAATCAGTTTAATTAAAACGGTGGGCTTCAAATGCCTCGCATTTTTTTAATGCATGTCCCTGTGTAAAGACATGTAGGCTGAGGTTTAAAGCTGCCTGCCTGCACTGACAGCCCCTCCATCCCTTTCTTGGTCCTAAACTGCAGCAGATTTGTACAGCTGCTGAGCACTTTGGGCAGACACTGGGGCTGAGTAGGATCATCAGCCCCATCCAGAGCAGCTCTGGGTCTGAGCAGCACCCTCAGCATCAGCTTTAAGCCACGGTGTGCTCCCCTTTGCAGGCTGGAGCTGTGCTTTGGGGCTTTGTGGGACCCTCCAGCCCAATGTCCTCCCCAGAGGGGCTGGGTGCTCCCCAGACAGCAGGAGGGTGAGCTCCCTGATGCTGCAGCAGGTTTGTCACAGCTCTCACCACAGGGTCTCCTCCTCCAAGGAGGCGGGAGACACTCGTGAGCTACATCAGGGTTTCTAAATCCCTCCTCTCCATCTCTAATTAAGATTCAAATTGAGTATAGAAATCATGTGTAAGTAAGATGCTAATTATTAAAGTCATTGATCTCCCAGACAATAAAGCAGCCTTGCTTTTCTGGCCCTGCCCATGTTTTGAGGCAGCTCTGAGCCCTCACCATTGTAAATACCCAGGATATCTGGAAGTGGATATCTTATCCACATTGGAGAAGTGTGAAAATTATTGATTTTGTGGAGAGGTGAGGTCTCCACCTTGCTCTGAACAAAACCTCTACTCCAGGCCTAGCCCCAGACAGCCCTGGCAGCATGTCTGGCTCTCTTGACAGCTCAGCTCCATGTAATGACCACTAAACTTTGGTCCCCCCCTCACTGCACATCTGCTTATGCCCTTGTCCATCCTGCACCAGTGCATTTATTTTCTCATTGGAGTAAGTGGGATTTACTACTCAGTGTATTTAATGGGATTTACTGCTCAGTGCATTTAATGGCCTCTTGTTCCCAAACTGGACAGCTTCCATGGTTGAATATCCTATCTAAAAGTTAAAGGGGTTGGGGAAAAGGTGCTCTCAGTTTGAAAAAAATACATGAAAGAATGATTGGAAAATTGCAGAGAAGGAAAATTCTATGGAAAGCAGAGCACAACCAGTATGGGGCCAGGCTGGAAAGTGGAGGGCAAAGCCACAGGGCTGGGAGGATGAAGGTGGCCAATGCTTTATTGGCCACAGGAAGGACAGACTCACAAAAAAGAAAAGGCTTGGGCTGCAGAAGAGAGGAATGCTAGCCTGAAAACACTGAGTGCAGCACCACACTGCACCAAAACGCTGGAATTAACATCAAAGCAGTCCTGGAGCAAATGAGATTACGGTATGCATGTTAATGAGGCAGCAGCACTAATCAGCCAGGATGCCTCGCTGGGAGGGCTGCAGTGCCAACTTGTGATTTTTGTTGTCAGGCTGGACCCAGCTTCCATTTGGAGTGAAGATTTTGTTTGGTTTTAAAAGCATCAGTATTTTTGTGGGGTTTCAGGCAATCTCCGATTTGATTTGATTTCTTCAAGTAGATGTCTGGCCCTTCAGGGTATAGAGAAGGACTTGGAAATGGGATTGAAGTGGACCCCAGGGCCAAACGAAAACCACTCCAAAGCCAAGGAGGAGATGAAAGTTGCCCAAAATGCATTTTACTCTATTTTAAAACATCGTTATTTTTAAGCCAATCTCACCAGTTTGCAGGGCTGAGTGCACAGCTTTGCACACAAAAGGCAGGGTATTTTTGTGCCAAGCTTTCCCGAGGAACATGAAGCCACTCAAGATGCGAGGGGTCCAGTTCTGTTCACTTTTGCCGTGGGTTTTTTCCCAGTGCCACAATGCTGATGTTACAATTATACTTCCCCATTAAGGCTCCAAAACTGGAGCTTTTTAATGTCAAGAGCCCTCAAAAAAGCACTTGCTTGGGAGATATGCTGCTTCAGGCAAAAAGCTGTGAAAGGGGCAGCCCCTCACAAGGGAGGCTTAGCTGGGCTGGGGAAAAGGATGGCAGGAAGGTGAGGGTGAGGAGGGAATCCTGAAGGAGGAAGGAAAGAATTGAGATAAGGGAAGGCAGATAAGCTGCTCACAAGCATTAAAAGGGCAGGACCCACAGCAGAGGACAGGCATGAGCCCTGTCTCTGCTTGAAAACTGGGGTGCTCCCAGAGTCCAGGGAACAGATTCATCTTGGTCAGGGAAGCTTTGGAGCAGGGTCAGGAAAAGGGAAGCCTTTCTGGGGCTTTTCATCTGTGGCCTTGGGAGCCAGGGGAACGTGGAGAAACAGCCACACCAGGGCATGGGATTGCTGCAGTGTGTGCTGCAAAGATACCAACTGCTCTGAGCATCAGCCCCAGCCTTCTCAAGGTCCATCTCAAGCCCTTTTTATGGAAAATGCCGTTCTGATAAACTCCTTCTACAAGGAAACCACTCTTGCTTTGATCTGTTTTTCAAACAGCCTTTCTTCTTGATTGGAGAAATTGGCTTAAATGAGTCTCTCTCCCTTTTCCCAAGCAAGGCTGCAATTCACTTCTGCTTCCCTCTCTTTTCACCGATAATCTCGTTTGCTGAAATTGTGAATAAAACAGAATTTGAGACATTTGAGTGTTTACAGAGCAGAACAACATGTTTTATGTCTGAGTTTGCCGTGCAGACGTGTCTCTTCTGCAGGTGGCTCTGAGCAAGGCGCAACAGGGGCTGCCAGAAGAGCTGATCCTCAGTTCCCATC